ACTGAAGAAACAGGTAAGGCATCCAATTGCACAACATGAAGGCTGTCCGTGCACACAGAGTCACAAAGGCTGTTGAAATTCAGGAAAAGGAAGCCTCTAGGGCACCACACGCTTTGGGACAAATGTCGCGCAGCATGAGCACTTTCTGTCCAGCGACTGACCTTAATAGAGATTTACGGCAGGCTAACTCAAATAGCTTGTCAGTCCACCTTTGCGGACTCATAAGAACGACAACATGAAGGGTCCTTGCTCCTAGTTAGCGATGCCACAAGCCCCAGTAGTTTCTTGTTCCTAGTAGTAAGGCCAGGAGCCCCTAGTAGCGTCCTTGTTCCTATTAAAGAAGAAGATGTTGCGGGCAACTGTGATACAAAACTGAAGAAGTTGAGCACCCACGCTGGATGCTATGCCTGCCCTGGGAGGTGTCCCAAATTCGGTCGCTGCCGAAGAATGGCCTGACACCGGACATCAAACAAAATAGTCTGAAAGAGTCTCAAAGCCTACCTTTCCTCTCTTCTACCAACAGACCTCCACTCCGGCAGGGCGGCAAGTACCCGCAGCAGGGCCGTCGAAGTGCCAGCAGTGACAATAGCAAACCTAAGGGTAACATGCCCAGGGAGCGGGTCGAAACCTGCAAGCATCGTGTCTGAAAAATACTCCGGTCTTGTTTGCACAAGAGAGACCGAACCCGAAACCCAGGGTCGCGAGAAAATCCAACAAGTAGCTCCAGTATCTGATAGGTTAGCTTGTCGCTCAGCCACATCTCAGCGCCCGGCTCTGCCCCACCTTCTTGCATTCTCTTCAGCCTAGCGAATGGTTAAGCCACATGGTTTTTCTAAAGCAAGCAGGAATCAAACGCATCGTGAAAAGTTATGTCATGAAGCTGGCGTTGGCATATTTGAACAAAAGAGATTGACAAAAACTTGCAAGAGTACATACATCAGTCCAGGTGCTCAGGATGCAGCCAGCTTGCAATGAGGTTGATGCGCTCAGGCCCACCAAAGAACACCTGCACACAAAAATGGAAACCAAGACCCATTTTCCCTGCCTGTTCATGTGCCGAACATGTCTTCCCTCCAGAAACTGCCAGCTGCCTGAGACACTTGTCAAATCTACACCTCTCTCCTTTGTCTATTTTCCACTTCAGTTTGTTGTCGAATCTGAGAAGTGGTCACGCTCAACTTCGTTTGCTTCACCCGCCATGCCACCTCCCTCAGTAGCTCGTAGAGCACTTCTTCCCCTGACTGCCTGGTTGGAGACTTCCGGGTAAGCAGAACCAAAGAAACGAACAAACTTTCCTCCAAGCAGTGTGGTAACACTAGGGGTTTTTACGGTAAGGGTTAAGGCCGGTGTCTAATGAGTCTGATGGCTAGTTCGTTGCCATTTAAAGGACATTCGAATTCCTCGAAGTGCATTTCGACTGCGCAAGCTCGCAAAATCTGCGTGGGCGCGGTGGGTGTTTGTCGCGACTGCGCTCTCGTTGTAGTGCTGCGCGTGCATTTTCGGACATGGTGGTCACTTTTCGTGGCAAACGGAGGGGAAAAATCGTGCTTCGGTGGTCCAAAGTCGACTTTTCGTGACAGGTGCAAGGGATCGGAGCGGCTTTATTTGGACGCGTGTAGGTTTTGTGGCAGGCGCAGCACTTTGGACATGGTGGTGATCTTCGAGACGCTCTGTTTTCGTGACAAGTGCAATGAATCGTGACTTTTCTACATGTGGTTCGTTTTCAGAAGTCGTAGCAGGTGCAGGACTTTGTGGACCTTGAAGCGCAGCTTTCGTGGCAGGTGCAGTATTTTGTTGAGACATTGAGATTTCGATGCAGGTGCGGTACTTAGTGGACCGAGAAGTGCAAATTTCGTGGCAGGCGCAGTAGCTTGTGGACCTTGAAGTGCACATTTTGTGGCGGCGCAATACTTTGTGCTGCCTGAGCCCCCATCCACCACCATCACCACCACCACCATCACCACGATCTCCACCTTCATCACCACCATCGCCTCTCTGCACCCCAGCGCGTCCAGATCTCTAGACTTTCTGCTGCTACACTTCTAGACCTCACACACACTGTTTGGGGTCCCTTCCCAGGATAATTTTAGTCCGCTCCCCCACTCCCTATTTAATTATGTAGGTGTCTATTTAAATTTAGTTAAGTAAGGGAGAGGTCATCTATGTACTAAGACAAGTAGTTGGGTGCACAAATTGTCATGATACAACATTTAGCCTGCAGAACTCATTGAGAATCGCGTCCATATCAAGCTGCTGGCCGCGTGGAAGCATCTGCAAGCAAAGCAAGTGCAAAGGGCAAAATGTCAAGCAATGTGCAGGTGATTTGTACATTACACAATCATGACCCGTGAATGACAAGTGTGCCCGTGGCTTCCTTACAGTTCTGCTGAAAAGGAGCGTGCAAACCATCAGCAAGGTTTCACAGCAGTGTTTGACAGCAGTCTGCTTTAAGGACAACACCTCCAGCTTCGGAGACAATTCTCGCGCCGTGCAAAAATCACTGAATGCCTCATCAGTCAACCCCTCAACCAGGAACCAGTGTGATTCGGCTTTGATGCAATGGTCAACACCGCATCCAACCAAAAATTGCTGCACTGACAGTATGTTTAATGTTAAGCTCCATCCAGTATGACTTCTTATCTTCCAATGAGCTTATGCAAGACGGTTGACGTCTCATGCAATTGTGTCTAATGGAGGCTAGGGAAGAAGTAGGTTCCGATTGAGGCTAGCGGCTACAGTACTTTACTTGCTGGAAAATTAAACTGATCTCTTGAATGTCCCTGTCAAACTGGGCAAAGCTTTGCGAGCAAACTCAAGTAGCATAGGAACTCAAGTGGTCCTGCCTGGTAATGAGCATGGTTTTGCGCACCCTGCGGATAGCACCATGCAAAAACCTCGAGTTCAAGTACAAGTCAATCAATGCTCACAATTCAGGCTTTGAAAGCTACACAAGTCCCAACCTTGTAGAAGTGTCGCACGCTGAGAGTGCAATCCTGAGTGCAACAAAGATTCCCGTGGTTGTGCAGAGTTCACTTTTCTAAATGCTGGGGTTGAAACGAAATCGAAGCCCACTAGGATGTGGCGCTCACGCAAGCGCTTTAGGGACTGGCAAAGGCTTAAAGAGCAACTTTGAGAGGAGATGAAGGGAGTCTAAACCATTAAACTGTGCATGCTGCGAGACTGAATTAGAAGGGTATGACTATGAGTTTACAAAGAAAAGCTTTGGCAGCGCACCTGCCGCAGCGCGCGGCGGTCAGCCGGCATCACAAGCAAATCCTGTTTGTTGATTTGAGTTGAATTAAGTTATTTTGGTTCGTCGCATCTTCGTTCAAAACGAGCGCTGCAACTCATTGACTTCAGTCGTGGGACGGAGCAAAGCAAATCCCGTGCGCGAGTGTTGTCAGCACTTGAATTCTGGTATTGTGGAGTAGAAACTGCATTGGCATGCTGTGCTGACAAATCGTGGAATGTGTTTTTGATTGAGCTCCATCACGTTGCATGGAACGTGACATGTGTCAATGTGTCCAAGAAAACTTCCTGCTTGGATGTCAAGACCAAGAAGCAACATGACATTATGAAACAGCCATCCAATATTCATTTCGCATGGTTCCCTATCATCTTTTCTCTTATAGACATTACTTAGTGTACTTCAATCGCATATTATCTGCTGATTCTTGATTCTGCTTGTACGTGCAACGTGTTTATTCCTTCAAGTAACCAACTGCTCGTGCACTGCTATTCTCTCTGGCCTTTCGCTTCAACGTAGCCTCTTCAACCCACAGAGTTCTCAGCAAGACCGACGCTTCACCTGGTGAGTCCTCTATGCAATCACCAAAAAAAAGAAACATTACATGTTTTGGTCTTTTCTGTCTTTATCTATTTCCAAAGATCGTTCAAACCTGCTAAACTTGATAATCTCGTGGTCTATAACTGCTTGCAATGAGGCCTGTGCTGCCAACCCAGGATCTTGTCAAAATGCCATTGCCAGTTTAAAGCTGTCACTGCCGGTTGCTTGAAGCGAGCTTCCCAAAAGCCGTCTGAGAAACCCTGGCCCTAACAGCCCTAACATCTTCAGCTACAAGCAATGGCACCGAAGCTCTGGACACGGGTTGCTCAAAACATCTACGATTGCAAGTGGCCAATAAGAGTTTGGGAATGGATCCAGCAAGAATAGTCAATCTTCATGAGATACATCTTTCACAACAGTGAAAATAGACACATGTTGCTAAAAGTATCCAGCACCATCGGCTTGATTGATGTGATCATTACTATGTACGGATCCATGCCCACATCGCCCAAGAGCTTCAAAGGCTTCATTGGGAGCGAGAAGAACTCAGGCAAAACTGAATCGCCTGAAAGGTGAAACGTTGTGTCCAGCACCAAAGCCACAGGGGAGACCTCTGTATCCTCTAGAAAGTGGAGCGATTGAAACCTGCATTGGAATTGAACTTCGATGTGCTTTTCCCACTGTTTTTGTTGCAAACTCCAAAGGCCAGGACTAGTTGGCGCGCTCTCACATCCCACAGCAGTGTATTCACGCTACCACGAAAGCCAAGCTAGATGTGTTGAAACTTCTCGCAAGACTGCTGCAGGACTGGCGCGGGATGCTGGTGTCCCTACAGCAACACTCTCCAAAAACTAAATTGAAAAACTACCCAACGAACAAGGATAATGTATCACACTAAATTTACAGAACGATCTTTGACAAGCGTAGGCGAGGCTTCGAAGAGCCCTCCATCTTCACAGTGGCAGCCACCTTCAATAGTGGTATTTGGCCAAAGAAACAGTCAAGGACTTCCAGTGGAGTCTTGCAAAAAGAAAAAGCATCGGCATAGTTAGTAACGAAGGTGTGCAAAAGCAAACAACAAACTTGCTCGTTTCAGGACCGTTTCGGCGGGATGGGCTGACCAAGGCTCAACGAGTCGTCGAGATTGTCAAGAACATCTAAAAAAGAATGCAAGGCCCTCACAGGGCCCCCACATCCACATCCTTTTTTGTTTTTGAGTTTCTTGTATACATATATCTGTATATAATATATATATATATCACAAGGCAAATTATATAGGTGAATTCAGTCCTGGCCTGTCCCAGTTGTAGTTGAACTTGAGAACTGCGCTGCCCTTCCTCGTTGGGTCGCCCGAGGGTCGCAGCTATGCTTTTGCGGCCGCTATGCGCTGCCAAGGCATACTGCTGCCCATCCATCAGCGCTTGCAATGTCACAGGTCTGGCAAAATCAAATACTAAAAAACAAAACAGTGATGAGTTCAGCCAGGAGAAACCCAGGGCTCTATGCCGCTTTCATGAACAGAACAACTGCACCTCGTCTGCAAGGTATAAGCCAATGTGCCAGTCAAAGGTGACTTCCTGAGCATGTCCAGTTTGAGGCCAGCAGAGCACACGGGCAACGTCTTTCCCAAAAACAATCGGCACGGTGCCGAGAAGATCTGAGTTCGATATGTAGGAGGCTTGCCGCAACCAATTCTTGCTAGCTAGCTTTCATGACCTGCTGTGCCAACATCAATCTCTCCGTTGTTACTTTCAGCCCAGTCGCAGCATCTGTCTGTCATAAGCAGCTGATGCCTATGCCAGCTCACGATAAGATAACAAAATGACCCTCAAAAATCCATACAATAGGTATCGTATTGCTTTTACAGTATGTCTGGGAGGGATGCAACAACAGCCACTACCCTTGATTTGCATTTGTGTCTGTGTGTGTGTGTGTCTTGTAGGCATGACAAAGGTCTCGATCACAAGTACCAATGGAAAGGCAATGATGCATCTGAATCCCAAAGTACTTGTCAGCATTCGCTTGGCATCTCAACTGCGACAACCATCGGCCTGAATGGTATGCCTGCCTGCAGTAAAACTGATGGTGCCTTGGCACATTTAACAGTGAAATCGGTGCTGCAAAAAGTTCAAGATTGTTCTTGAAGCCAACAGGGGGCAAATGTAAAGTTCATTACAGTAAGTCTTCATGTCTCTCAGCGTCACCACAACGAGTGAAATTCACAGACCAATCCATCAAATTACAAGCAAATCTCACATCAAGCCAGCACACTATCGTGCACAAAATCCACGGGAGAGTACCTGCATAGTCGCAACTAGTTAGCAGGATAAAACAGTTGTCCTGCGAAGGTTTTTTCGTTCTTCTCTGGTTTCCCTCTCGGGGCACTTCCCTGGGATGTTCTGCAGGCCATAGCTGCCGTGCCAGTGGGGCGAGAAGTCTTTGTCCACGCGGCCACGTAAATGAATGCCATCCTGGACTTACAGGGTGTCTGCATGTTGCTCTGCCTTGTAACACACTCCGCTTGCAAAGATTACAGGCTCAAACGAAAGGCTGTTAGCCAATGGAATGGCCATGTTTGCATATCATCCATATATATATATATAACATATATGGTGTGTATTATATATACATACCTGAGAATGGAGGGGGCGAAAGCCAGCCTCCAAAAGAAGACATGAATGTGGTTATGGGGTGAATCTGACAACGCACTGGAGCTGCTGTCAGGCATGGAGAAATAGAAGGCACAGGTGGAAAATCTCGCATTGAAGGCCGATATGACACGCTCTTTTCACACAAGGTTTCGAAAGGGTGATTAGCGGTTATAGGATAGAGAAGTTGTGTTCATGCGTTAGGAAAATAGTTGAATGACATTGACAGTCGGGGGGAAAAGGTTGACTTGAGGTGCCCCCTTTCTTTTGGTTCGAGGGCGTTTTCAAGCTGAAAAAGGACACCCCTAAGTAACGGAGGGGCGCTTGCCTGCTGTTTGTTTCTCTTGTCTTAATAGATGCACTCATAAACTCGGCGTGCTGCCAAGAGTGGATCGATGACAGTTTACTGCAAAGATCATGCGCTTGCCTAACATCGAGCAAAGACTACTGAGTCTAACGTCTACCGCTTTCCTGGTGAGCTCCCAACCTCTTTTTCTGTCACGTCGTCCCCCCTTCCTTCCTCCACATGAACCCCCACCCCGTATCCAAAGCCCAACTCCCTTGGATAGCTGTGAGGGGTGCCCTTTTGCATCCAGTTGACAGCCCTCTTCACCATAAAAGTTGCTGACTGCATTCTGTTCCCTCTTCTGTCCTCAACGAGTGACACCCTTTCCTGCCTTCCCTTCAACTCATCATAACCACGAGAAGGTGATGATTGAGAGACGACATCTCACTTTCCTAGTGGATTCACGACCTCTTTTCCTGTCACGTTCCCTCTCCTGTCCTCTACAGGTCACGTTCTCTCTTGCGTTCCTACCCACAAGAAACAGCCAACCTTTCACGTCATCCCCCGTTTCCTCCACATGAACTCCCACCCCGTATGGGGCACCCTTGTGCATCCAGTTAACAGACTCTTCACCATAAAAAGGGGCACCCCCCCAAGCAACTCAAAGCATGCAAGCTGCATTCTGTTCCCTCTCCTGGGTGACATCGCTTCTTGTGTTCCCTTTCACTTTTTTTAGCCACGAGAAAACAGTGTGTTGAGAGACGCGCATCTCACTTTCCTGATAGGTTTGCGACCGCTTTTCCTGTCACGTTGTCCCCCCCTTTCCTGTCCTCGACATGAACTCCCACCCCTTGTCGAAAGACAGCCTCCTGAGCCCCTCATGACGCTAATGATGCACTCTTCGGCATCAATTACATCACTTGCATCACAACACCCCAAAAAACCATACATTTTCATTGCTTTTCGGACCACCTCCCTTTTTCACTCTCCCACACCAGGCTCGGGGTTCGCCCTACCCAAACTGGCCAGCTAAGTCACCACCCGCCCAGACCACCGACAACTCCAGCCTAGCCTATCGGCTGGCTTTCGTGACATATCAATGTTCACAATTTCACAGGACACCATCAACACGCAGCGCGTTGCATCCTGGGTGGCTCCATAAGCTACTGAGGGTGTAAAGCCCCGGACCTTAGCAATCAACCAACACGAGTAACAGTCTTTAGGATGCTAGTCAGTCTAGAGTCTAAACTTCACATGACCGGATGAGTGCAGTTGCTTTCAACTTCAATTGAAGGTTTCAGCAGCGCTTTGAGCGCAAGGCAGGCGCGTAGGTCCTTGGCTGTCACAGCTTACAACCATTGCAATCCTATCAACTTCAACTCAGAAGAGACAACCCCTGCAACCAACAAAACATCTTCTCGCTTTCTGTAGAAAGCATTCAGGTTTGAATACACCATCATTCTACAACAACCTCCTGCACACAGTCCTGACCACAACCCTCAATTCCAATATATACACATATATACTTAAAACTGCTCATATCAACATCCCAGTCTGAAACAGGAAGCAATCTTGAGCATGTTCGAACCCCCAACATCATCTGCGCACGCGGAGCAAACGCGAAGCCAAGGACCTTTGAAGAACCCTTTTTGGGGTGGAGGGTCGTTCAGGCCACATGCGAAGGGTCAAACAACTACTTACAAGCTGCAAAAATCTTCAGCCAAATGATTGCTAGGTGGCGTGTTCAGGTCCAAATTCCAATCCAACTGCGAGTTCAACCCGCCACTGACGATGCCCACGTCTTCCACCTGCAACGTATCTTGGAGAGCGGAAACGTCTCACAAGTGTCTAAAGCAGATTCCCATTTCTGTATGCGTAGAAGCTGGTGAGAAGGAACACAAGACTGGAGGCTATCGCTATTAGGTGGAGGCCATCGCTAGGAGGTGGAGGCCATCCGCAATTAGGTTACATTTGCTAGTAGGTCCGTAGGTGCTTTAGTTTGTGCTTGGAGCACACCTCATGTCGGAAGGATGCACCCCACTCGCCATTGCTGCGCAGCCGTGCTGCCACGGAGCCACCTGAACACTGCCACAAGCGCACAACGGCTGTATGTGGCTATATGATGTGCCCAGAAGTGAAGCATTGTTTCACAAATTGCCTCCTGGCAGACTTTGCTCATAGCCAGCTTCCACATGGTTGCTGTCCTCGCTCTCGGAATTCACAGCAGGGGCCTTTGCAGCGCAACAGGACCTTCCTGCTGTCCCACCCTTTCCTCACAAAATCTATCTGCCGAAAACAAGCTCTGCCCCTAGTAGCTTCTTGTTCCTAGTAGTAAGGCCAGGAGCCCCTAGTAGCATCTAGTAGCGTCCTTTGCTCCTAGTAGCGATGCCAGGAGCCCCTAGTGGGTCCGAAACAAAATACCTCTCCGGGTTCCCGGCATCCATGCCCAAAGTCAAGCGCCCACCCAGCCGAGGCAAGCCGAGCCTTGCTGGTAGGAACTTTCTCTGCGGTTCTGTTGATTTCTTTGTTCGCTCCATCCGTTCTACCTTTCTGTCTCTAATGACTCTAATGTTCAATCCTTTGCATCGGATGTCCACTCTGTGGAAAAGCCTATCTATACTCAACGAATTCCTGAGGGCATTTTGATCTGCTGCATAACAGTTTGTGATCAAGAGTCTGCGTTGGAGGCTAAGCATATGTACACATATCTGATTGTCCGTCCCTATGAAATCTGAGACATCGTAGAACCAGGTCGCCCTGACAGCAGCGCTGCTGCGTTGTCCGTCGAATACGGAAACCTGAGGTGAAAATCAAACACCGCTGAGGCTTGCATTTTTTAAAGGGCTCCAGCCAGGTTGAGGCAATCGATATGGCTCAAGTCCAAAGCTTCTCCAAGCCCTCTGCCCCGTCAGCGCGCTCTTCTCAAAGCTGCCTTCCGCAGAACCGGACACTGCCAGCGTCCTGTGCAGCACAAAGCCGCAACCGACGAAGACAGGTCACTTCAGCACACGTACTGTCTAGTTGAAAAGGGCCTCGAGGGTTTTGCACACTCTTGTCACCTCCTGCTTAAAACAACTGATAATAATATAGTGTGTAAAACAAATATATACATATATATATATACATATATATAATATATACATATATATATATACATATATATATATAATATATACATATATATATATATACATATATATATATATACTGATGCTGTGGCTATTCGTAGCAGGGATAGAGCCATGTTGTGCACCTTGGAAAAATAAGCTACTTGTCAGAAATGCACAAGTACTGTGACTGAGGTCAAAGCAAAGGCTTCAGCGGGATCTTTCGAAACTTGAGGCTAGGAATGGGCACCTGCGATGGGTGGCCCCAGCATTGTAGCCCCCAAAAGTCACAGTAGTCGACTTCGCTTGCAGACATGGAAATTGCAAAGTCTCAAGGCGGCTTGCCAGCAGGAAGAAATCTTGCAGGAATCGGATCTTCCATACAATGCACAAGGTGCGCAACAATCTGAGGCCTTTCCCTTGGAGGGAAAGGCGACCAGCTCATAGCCCCTGGCTGAAAAGAGCACCTCGTCCAAACTCTGAGAAAACAGCAAGTCCCTCTTCCGAAAGATAGAGAGGGCATAAAGCCAAAGCTTTCATGAGGTTGTCACTGTCAGATTTTGACAGCCATTTCAAGAATCAAGGGAAAAGCCCAATCCAGAGAATTCCCGTACTTCAAGGTCGAATCCATCTTTATTGGGGTGGACTCGGCAAAACTTGACCTCTTTGAGACTGTAAATGTGTTGGAGGGGCTCATAGAAGTTGAGTCACCTGCTTCTTCAATGATTCACAACAGCAGGTTTTGTCAATCGCTGCAGTTCCGATTTCAGACTGCAAAGCCACGGGCGGCCTTCTTCTTGTTGTTTCGATTCAAAAACGACAGCTGGCGCGCCTGATGCCAATTCAACACAAGCTATGGCAAATGTCCAGATCACAAGACTGAAAAGTCCACGCGCCCTGTCCGCCTCAAAAAGCGCAAGCCTGGGCATTCAGGAAGGCGGCAGGAGCATGATTTCTCTCTCCAGTGTTTTCTCTCTCTCACTTGGGTATCTTGGATCTGGGCAGGGTTAACACGCAAAGCAATGGCAAAAGCCTCACCTGTCAATGGCAGAAGTGAACAAATGTTGACGAGAACGTCTCCCATTCTGCCAAAGAAAAGAACGTTTGTTGTCAACTCTGGGAGATTGTTCAATCAGCTCAAATCCTCAATGCAGGCCTTGCCGGCCTGGCCGGTGCGACATTGACGCCTTAGAGCAAGCTGGTTGAAGTTCTACATTTCAGTACTTCTCTGGCTGTTCAACCAACAAGCTGCCGAGTGAAATACTAGAAGCAAAAGGAATGACCAAGTTCCAGATGAAGCTACAAATTCTGATCCTTTAAAATACTTTGTGGTTGAAACCAGCATCTTGGCTGGCAATGAATGACGCTCTCCCTTCAGTCCTATGGGCCTTTCCGTTGGGACTACGCAAACCAGTTCAAAAACTGCCACAATGCACAGCAGAACAACACCACAACTCTTCAAAGAATCTGCAGTTTCCAACAACCTGGATGGTTCTGTGGAAGCCCCACAAGACTTGGCAGCTCAATGGAGCAATTCTTGGCACTCCACATGACCTCTGAGGAACCGCACTGCATATGGCCTGCTACTGTCAGTTACATTCAAGACCCTAAATATCAGGACTACGTCAATGTATTAAAGCGCCAACAACGGTGAACCATGTTTGAAATGGCCTACATGGCCTACAGTATCTGATGGATGGTATGCGGAATTCAACCTACATAGAAATGTATATACAGTAATGTCATCAACGGACACGAGGTGGTCTATGGTACTCAGCTGGTGCAGGGTTTTGTCCATCAACACGTGTGCCCATGGTGTTTGTTGGAAAAGACGTTGTTTGGCCTCCGGCCAGGGTTTGCTACCATATATATATATATACACCACAACAAACAACCTGCCAACCTCTCTATTGTTGGCCGAAATGATCTCATTGACTTTGAGTTGGTTGTTTGGGATAATATAACCAGCGGTTTCCGGCCTTCGTTGAGCACAGCCAAACGCCAAGCACTGGTGCACACAGCTCAATCCAGCAATGTTGATCCAATATTCCTAGTGTTTGCCAAGCAAATTTTGTCGTGATGTGTGGCTGCAAGTCGCTGTGAAAAAAAACGTTGAGACATTGAAACATGTAAGGCTAACATTCCCAGCTGCATACTGTGTTTTCCAATGTTCTGGGCCACAAAGCGCGGGAAATGCACACAAACAATGAAGGTCGGGCCATTGATCGCAATACTGGCATCCGCTAATGAAACTGGAGCAAACAACAAAATCCAACTCCTCTAGGGTGCGGACTTTGGTAAATCAAAATGTGTCAAAGGGGACACCATGGGGGTTGTTTTTTGAAATGCAACACACCTGTCTGAGCAAAAAGCAATTCATCTGCAGCAGCATCTGGTCAAAAAAACAAACTGTCAAATAAGCTATGTTTGGTGCCTCAGACATAGGTCTGCATATGAAGCATCTCCAGTAGCATCAACACAGAAACGACATGTTATATGCAATAGCATCTGACAACCCAAAGCTAAAGAGAAACCAATGGTACAAAACCTAGGCACAAAACCTAGGTCAACGTGTTTTATTTCTAGTTGTTTTGTTAGTTTAGTTCAGTTGTCACACAAACAAGGACAGAAAAAAAACCTCTATGCCTGAGGCACCATACGCAGATCCAAACTGTTTTTTGTATTGGTTGCAGTGTCACACACTTCAATGCACTACTACACTACCATATTTTTCACAAGTGTCCATTGGTTTGTTTTGTTGCTGTCTTTTCATGGTTGTGCCAAGTCGTCTGCAAGCTGAGGGCTGAGTTTCAGTTTGACAATCAAACAAGAAAGAAAACCTGTCCACATTATTTAATCCATGTCAATCCATCGGCTTGTCTTGGTATGTTTACTTTGGTTGTCCGCTGCGGATACAACTGACTTTTAATATAGTAAGTTCCTTTAACACTTCCTCTTCCATCCACACTCTTCCCGACAAGTTTTTCCCTGTTTCAATAAGAAAGAAAAAGGGGGGAATGTGCTCGCGGAGAAAAACGCAGTGCGCCCCGTTTTCACGCTTAGGCTTGGGCCACTGTTCGGCCAGGATGTAAGTCAAGTGCTATGCAACACAAGTAGGATGTTCACGCTCAAGTGGCGCTTTTCATACCTCGCCTTCTTCAAGGTAGCGCCGCAAGTGTTCATCCCAGTTCAACTCCCATTGCCCACTCATCACCATGATGGCGAAATTGGCAAAATGTTTCTTCTCCTCAGCATTCCACTTGAACACGTGGTCGAATGCTGCCCGTGGGTCATTGCTTCCATGAATCTGGGGGATTCGAGCTTGGAGAAATTCTTTCAACAAGCTCTCTGGAAAAATTCCAGCTGCTTGGACTTTTCGTCCTCTTCGTTCTTCGTCTGGTGGCAAGTACTTGTAGATGGTCTCAAGGTCGTCCCAATTGGCATCATTGGGTGGCTCGCGTCGGTCATAGTCTGACCAAACTCCTCCTGGGTGTGTTCTTCCATCATTCGTCCACATCCATGTTCTGGCTCTCATCATTGATTGGGTTCTCTTGCTCTGTTCGACTTTGAGGTGCTTCTCTCTCAGACCTTGTTGGTCGATATCGTCTGTAGAGCCCTGTCGTCTCATTTCCGGTGAAGTATTCCTCACCACTCTCTGCTTCTTCAGATCCTGCTAGGACTCGATACTCCCTCATTCGTTGGAGCACAGGATCCCAATCGGTCGTCCATTCACCAATCCACTCATAGTCTGCATCTTGTTCTTGGCTTTCACTTGGCTCAGTTCTTGTCTCATTCTGCAATTCAACTTCAAGTTGCCGGTCAGGTACTGCAGGTCGAAGTGGGTTGTCTGGAAAGATAGTGCGTCCTTTATATCGCCATTCCCCACCTGCAGCAGACCACATCTGAGCTCTCAAAAGCAAGTCTCTTCCACTTCTTCGATCTCGGACTTCTTGCGCACGGGCTTCCTGCAAAATGCCTTCTCTGAACATTCTTTCATCATTCTGTCTTCGCATCTCCATGTCGAGCTCTTGCTTGAAAAAGCGCATGACAGTGCGAGCTAAAATGCTAAGCCGAACACGATGCTTGTAGCCAACGTACATGCCTAAAATGAAAATGAACAGGCTGTAGATGCAAAACCACTGGAAATACCACAAGTGACTGACATAGTCACCCTTCTTCTCCTCTTCAGCGATTTCATTCTTGCCCACCATGCCAAGCACGCCAGGCTGAAGCAACAAAAGTGTCACTGCGCGCACCATGTTTGTTGGCACTTTCACTTGGGCTCCATTGGCTTCATCCATCAGGCTTTTGATCATCTCGCCCTTCACTGCCTTCATTCTTCTGGCCATCAACTTCTTGCTTACCACTTCGTTGAAGGAATCCTCTCCAACTGGGGCGAAAATCTCATCACCATTCTCAGCCGTCATCTCCACCACACCAATCAAGTACATAAGAAATTCTCTCCTCTGCCTTGTCAGCCTCTTTGTTCCCAAGTCGGAAACATTCCAGAGCGTCGGGATGCCAGCCATTGTGAGAACTTCTTTCTTGACTTCAAGCTGCATCCACAAATAGCGGGTGTCAATGTGTTTCAACCTCCCAACTCCAAGCCGCTCTGTAAAGGCTCTGCAAGAGGTACTGTCTGTGATGGATCGAATCTTCACTTCACGCTTGCTGATGAACTGCCAAAGGTCTTTGATCTGGATGGACTCCAGCTGCTGCCAAAAACTCAGCTTCACAAGAGCTCAATGATATGGCTTTCTGGGATCTCGACCATCCAGCTACAAGGCATCCATTCAGGAACAGCATGGCTGAGCTCACTGAACGCCGTCTCTTTTTCTCACTGGACTTATCACCAGCCCAATCACTGTCAGTGAATGCTTCCAGGAGGTCAAAGTCCCCAAGGTCATCGGCCATGTTGAGAATCTCAGCCTTCTTAGACTTGTTCTTGGTGTAAGGAAGCAACAGGCCGTGGTTCTCGGTTCTCTTCAAGTAGCAAATCACATGCTTGAGCTCTGTCTCAGCCTTTCTGGTAGGCATAGCCATGAACTGTGACAGGTTTCTGACGCAATGCTGGATGTCAATCCTGTCCTGGGAGATGTACAAGAGGGTGCCAAGCGCCGAACGGAAACGGTGTTGATCTCCGCCTTGAAGTTTGTCTTCTGGACCTCCTTCCAAATCAACTTGTGTGCTTTCTGGAGTCGCTTTGCCTGCTCGGTTGGTGAGATTGTACAACTCCAAAAGTCCTGGGACATATCGCTCATGTGGCATGATCACCAGGCCTTCTTTGGTGAAGAAGTGCCTTTTCTTCAGGCATCGAACTGCTTCATCAGCAGGCTGACCATCACGAGGAAGGATACCAGACTCGCTCAGCACAAACTTACCTTTCATCTTGTTCAGCAGCCATTGCAGATCTTCAAGCTCTCCAGCCACAATCAGATCATCTACATGACAAACTGCACCAATCTGCCTGCTTTCATGTCGAAAGAACGAAGGCAAACTCATGTGGCTTTGGAATCCCAGGTCTCGAAGGTGTTCACTCAAGAAATCAAACCACCTTGCTGCTGCATCTCGTTGTCCTGGGAGACATTTGGCTAGAGTCCAAAAGCGTCGTTGTCCATCACCTGCTGCGCCTTCATCTGCCTTCCACCATGTAGGTTGTTCCACAAGCACCAGACGAAGTTGTACCAAGCACCAGTCTGGTTGCTGCTATTGAGGATGTTGGTGCAAAGGTCTTGGAAGAAGACACATCATTTCCTTTGAACTCGCGTGCAACAAACCTGCACCTTCTCTTCCATTTGCCATCACGAAAGCGCCAGTCATAAACTGATCTGGTAGTCAAGATCTCTCCTTGTTCCACCTCCTGGTGTGTAGGTTCTCTGATGACTCCCATGGTCAAGAGTCTGCTGATCTCTTCTTGCCCAGCAGCTGCCTCGATCTCCTTCATGGTCTCTTCATCCACTTGTGGAGGTTGTCCTTCATCCACGGTGTCCAAGTCCGCCATGGTCCACTCTGCGTCCTGCTCATCGTTAAAGAAGTCTTCCACCTCCATCTCCCACTGTTCTTCATTGACGGATGAAGTTCCTTTTCCACACGGTTCACACCACCAGCATAGTGAGGTGCATAGAGGTGTGTTGGGCTGCCTTCTGGGCTGTCAACTCTTGGGATCTTTGATCTTGGCTCCTTCTCTGCCGTGTCATCCAACATCTCATGGGTTCTACTTGAGGTCGACATTGAAGGGATCTTCACCTCTGGTCCTCTGGTGTCACAGGAGCTTTATTTCCAATGGCATCATCTTCATCCATGCCCATAGGTAGAGGAGGTACTCGAAGAAATTTGGATGCTGGCTGTTCTGTTGTTTCAACTTCTCCCCCACCATGTTTCACACCACCTCCTGTCTTCGTCTTCACCTCCACCATCTTGATCAGGTCCATGTCCTTTGCCAGGGGCAATGACAGCTCGATGAGTTAGAATTGGTACTGGAGCAAAATCGTTCTTTGCACAGCAAACTGCGGGGGCGTATGAACACATCTGGAGAACTGCAGATGCCGATGATACTCTGTTGACATGGTATGACATGCGCTGTTTTATTCTGCGCGATGTATTAACGGAGTGCACCACTGAGAAGCGGAGACCTATCTGCCTAGTGCAGTTGGCCATGGACTGCCCGAGCAGCCTGTCGCTGAGCCGCTCCATTACCGATAGGTGGGCACTCAACAAGTCGCCAAGAGTGCCTGCCGCCGCTTTGATGAATGGTATACGTCTTGCTGCTTCTTGTGCAAGACACTTGAATGGCGTCTCATACTGTGGTCGGTCATCGTAGTGTGAGGAGGACAGGGGAGGATCTTCAATGTCCTCCTGGCTGACTTGCGACGCATACAGGGGGCGGGTGGTACATTTGGAACTGAGGTGAAGGTCGCGGTGCCAATGGGCCCTCTGGCTGAGGAGTAAGCCACAAGGCAGCTCTACGCTTTGCCGGGGGCAAGGTTGGCCAGGTATTGGAGCGCAGTGAAAGGAAAGACTCGTATCGGGTGCCATCCTCTCGAATCCATCCTAG